GGTAAATATTCATCCGAACATAAACAGAAACAAGATATGCAGCATAAATTATCAGAAAATGTAAAAAGCAAGGTGTGGAAATGTGTAGAGAGAGCTAATGCAGTTATGCAATGTGGCTGCCAGATTACAAGACTGACTAGGGACCTGACAATGTTACATAATGCTGAGTCCAGACAGTAATCCATAAGGCGACCTGGCCGACATGCAGTACTCATGGCAAGAGGCTGTAACCTGTTCTGGACAGAGGCAGCCTAAATGACCAGAGAGCTGTCCTTCACATGAATACGGGATTTAAAGTGTCTGGGTATGGATGTTCTCACAGAGCTCTGCCGTTCAACTGCTGGTGCATGTTGCATTTAGATATCAAACCTAAGGCACAGACTCACCTGAAAGTAGCAGAGCCAGCCGTAGCTGAAATGTCAGGAAGTGAGGTCTGTTACATGACCAAACCAGCTTCTTGTACTCTCCCTGTAATGTCATTTCCTCTTTTTTTGTTCTTAAATGACTTTTCAAAAGTTTGATGTGGACTCAGAAAGCTCACCAAAGACAACACTCTCTGCTATTGTTGGCTCACAGACAGAATAGCGAGGTGTTTTTCCAAGCTTTGATTAGACAACGTTCATTTCACATTTTTTTGTTTAACAGATTTCGTCTGCTTGTATCAACGACTCCTCGATTACAGCTGGCTGCATGCCATTTCTCTTTTGTACAAAGAATTTTGTTTCTTTTCCAAAGATGATTGTGAAACTGAGTTTTAAGATGTATTGTCTCCATTTTGGGCTTCAAATTCCTACAAAAGTCAGCAAGTAAATGCTTGTAATTAAGGACTGAAACAGAGCCAACCAAGGTTGAGCTTCACACGGAGAGTCTGTTTTGTACCATTGAAAATATACCAGTTTAGATTGTTACTTTGGTAGGAGTAGGATTTTCAAAATGCAACATTCAGAGCTTGATGTACTGAATTTGTTTGCATATACACAAAATGTCTCCTTATCTTTAACATTCTCAACTCATATGTTAGGCAACTTGGCAACAAAAGTGAAGGTGAATATAAGTAAAGATGAAGATAAGAAATCCAAGCTGGAGTCTTACAGCTTCATCCAGCTGCATGCCAAAAAATACAGAGCAATGGGTTCACGCTTTATCCACACCTTGCTGGATAAAGACAAGGGTTGAAAACTGGTAAATCAACACCTAAATGAACAACAAATTTCTACTCCTTACAAAAACCTTTGAAAAGGGGACCATAGCACCCTCACATGAAACCCTGCCACAATCCAGCCTTCAGGAAACTGAATACATGCATGTCCTGCACACATGTGGGGGAATCTAATGCCAGCACAATGCATGACAAATTGCAGCCCTCAGATTTCCCTGGCAGAGAGCACCAGCTTGACCAACCTGGATCGATTTCAATCGGCGGCTTACCAAAATGATGTGGCCACCATCGGACTTGCATGATGGGGCTAAAAATACTGCCGGCTGACCCCGAGGCTCTTATGTGGCCACGTACCCTCTGGTGTGTCTGGTTTTATGTGTCCCCAATGAAAGCCATCAAATTACAGATGCAAACACAGTCGGACCCCTCATCAAAACTATTCCAGCTCACTGACACACTTTACTTAAGGCAGCAATTAGAGCAAAGGAAAATGGGAGGTATCCCAGGCACGCAGAGAGAAAAGAAAGACAGGGCGAAAAATGAAGACACACAGAGGAGAGAGATGAAGGTGGATGGTGACAGCTCATCAGTGGGCCACAAGCCGTTTTTTTCCCTCTCTGCTCCCTCCCTTCAGCAGTTTCCTCTACGTGCGCGGATCAAAGGATTGGTGATCATAAATAAAAGCTCTGATGATGATTTCCCATGAGGGCTGTGAACAACTGCATAGCACGTGCTCATATGAAGCCACAGCAAAACAGCTGTCTGTGTAGTCAGCACGCCTGGTTGGCCAAGTGCCTAACTGCCTCACTCACAGCTCAACTGGTTCCCACCAGAAAAGAGACTTGGAGTAATCTTTGGCTCTTTTTCTGAACTCTTAGATCCATTTTGAAATTAACTTAGATGAAGCATGGGATGATCCTCCCTGCAGGTTAGAAAAAAAAAAAGACATTTTTGTCTTTTCTCGATTTGTTTTTCCAGGTTTGAGTTTTATTTCGCCAGCACTATTGTACCCAATCAGCTACAACAACATTTGTTTTTGTTTTCTTTTTAAAGCAGACAAGTAAAACGTCAAAAAGAGGTGAGAATTATTATTTATATCCAACCATAAGATCTTATTCCAGGGTCATGTGATGACTGAAGCCTGTCCTAGCACAGGGTGAAAGGCAGTAAACACCCCGCGCAGGACACTAATCTATCACGAGGCTGACACTCAATATCATTCCATTCGTTGCACCTTCCTCTGAATCTCTCCACTTCCATTTGTATACTTGCATGAAGTACATACCATACTGAAGGTTATCCAATTATTGTGGGTACACCTGTCGCATCTGCTTATACACAGAATGAAAGCACATACTATTTTCATACCCTTCTCTGTGAGAATGCTCACCCCAGCTGCAAGCATGACTTCATATGAAGTGACACTGCAGTGGAGTGCAAATGAGGAGAGACCGGTTTGAGGTGAGAGCTGTAGATATGAAAGCTCAGTCGTGCATGTAACTGCAGCAAGTTTAGTATTTCTTATTCACCTGCTCAAAAGGGAACTCGCTTATATACTTGAAAACCCCTCATAGACAGGTGCATGACTTGGGAGTAAAAATAAAAATGTTTCAAGGGTTTAAAGAATTAAAAGTCATAATTACAGCTGTATCTGTCGGAGTACTTTTACTTGTATTGATAGTTGCAGGATGAACATGAGGGGAAAAGACAGTTTTTCTGTAGGGAACAGACTATATTCAACACTGCTGCATGGTCGACCACATTTCCTTTGAAGACTGACCTACTAAACCATGAACTCTTTCTCATATATGCAAATGTTTAGTGAGATAAAAGCACATCAACCATCGTGGTCTCTCCGTAAACCTCGATGTATATTCTATATTGTCATGGTAGTGTATCATTTCAGTGTTGGAAGAATGTATTTCTGGATGTGCATGAGAGACAATGCAGCAGAAACCTGATGCTATGTAAATCATCATACGGTAAATACAGAGCATCACTGCAGGTTAGACCGCAGGCCTTCACTCTGCTCAAATATGCACCCATGGCGTGTGTACATTTACATAACTTTGCAGTCAGCAGGCCTCCAGCACGATAAGGTTCCCTGGAACTCTCTGATGCCTCTGTTTGGTTTGTGGTCACACACATGCACATGCACACGCACACATACATATACACACACAGGTTATCAGAGGTAGCATAAGATAAAAAGTGGAAAGTTCACATACAGCCAAGGTCGTGGCAGATGTGTAATAGCAAAACTGGAAAGTTTACGTTTTAAAATAGGACAGCTGACTTCACAAACCTTTTGATTTGTATTCACTTTTTCCATTAAATGGTACCAAAATGCATTCATACTCATTCTGATGCAATGTTTAAAACATCTTTTGATGTTACTAAAAACTATAGAAAAATACTACACACCTGCTTCATAAGACAGGTTTAAAGAAGAACAATTTCATAAAAACTGTCACTTCTTACTTACTCATTAAAGAATTAGGGAGGTTGCTGCTCTGCTGTGCTACTTTATCAGGTAAAAAGAAAAAATAAAACATCCCTAAGTTGGTTAGATATCAGAGGTCACAGCTGACTGTATATACTATGGACAACTTGGTTCTGCCCTCTGCCAGTATACGGATTTGAAGCCAAAAAGCTCTCGGTAATGCCATTTTCTGAAACCAACATTGCACAGTGGCCATGTACTCACTTCACCACTTGCACAGTAGCATTGTATGCATTCGGCGGGAGAGTCGCCAAGAGTCGCTGTGATGACGCTCGGCTCAAACAGTGAATCCCTTGGGTGAGCTACGCAATCCTTGAATCCCTAAACTGTATCAAGTGTCAATCATAGAAAACATAAAGCTCATAATAACTTTTAAAAACGGAGCTGTACAGAAAAAAAAGGAGTGGAGCACAAACCAGTCTTACTGGGGGAAAATAAATTTATATTCTGTGTAATAAGTTTCAAAATTTTGTCCACAGCTCCATTAGGATTGCTAGCGGGATTAATGACCTATACTGCAAGCTGTCACCAGAGGGTGCTGTTCTCGGGGTGGTTTCACGCAGCGAGGAGGCAGACGGCGTCCATTCTACATACAGTCTATGGTCACAGCAGAAATGTTACGTTTACACAGAATCCTCAGAATTTCCCTCTTGGGCCACCCCGGTCAACAAAGTCTGGACACACCCCTGGCTGGCTTGCTTCAAATATCCTTTTATAATATCCAATTATAAAATATCCAAATATTACTGGTTTTGGCTCAGTTTCATGCACAATAATCAGTTATGCTGTTTTAGTATATCTTAAGAAAAATACCTTCATTTTTTGAATAATTATCTTAATTAGAGATTTTACCCGAGGTGACATTTTTGTTTTGTTTTGTTTTGTTTTTGCTCTTTTTACTTTTATTGATTTATTTATTGACAGAGACTGAGAATATCTTTCACCTCTGTCTTTGTTTTTGGCCTTTTGGAGAAACCTATCTTGCTCAATGAAGACTATCAAAACGCTGGTCAAACTGTTAATTTTAAGTGCTAAAATTAGGTTAACATAAAATCAACACAAACTGGTTAAAGCTGACACACAATAGCTGAGAGGAAGAGGAGAGGGGTGAGCTTTTCTTTTGTTAGTTTACACTGTTGGCTGAACTCCTCCCTCCTGCCATAAACCTTATGTCCGTCTCCCACTGCAGAGCTGCAGAGGAAAAGGGAGGAGAAAGGACGGCTCTGAATTGCCGCCACGTGCGCTCAAATGCCAGCTCTATTATAATAACTTTTTCTGGATTGGTCCAGATACGCACCACGGTATTTATATACGACATCTAATTGGTCGTCGCCTCCTAGTCGATAGTGAACACAGCGCAAAGCTCCCAGACAAGGGATTCTTGGGCGTCTAGTACTATGAGAAAGTAGTGCGCGATAAAAACGTTCATTACGGTGATATTTTTGGGTAAAAGTGTGTAAAATTTAACATGTACGCGTAGTAGTTACAAGTCAGTACATTTTTAATGCTAAACGTTTAATTTACACAGGTATTGGGCGAACGTGTCGACTTGTAGTGGTGGCGGAGGGATACTCATATCCTGCTGCGCGTCAAAATATTGGCTTGGGGAGACCGCGCCAAAGCTCAGACAGCGGCTTCTCTTCAGGATAACAACACACTGCGGAGGACATTTAAACGCACTCTACTGTTGATACGGTTACCCTACACATCGGACTGTTAAGATTTGTCATTGAAGTGGACTATTTTCATCTCAAGTGCTCGAGTCGATACACAGAAGTCAGCTTTCATGCCGGTTTTCGGGAAACAGTGTACGACTTTATGGTCGTGACACGGCTTTGACGGGCGCGGTGCGGCTGAGTTGGCGCACTGCTGGTCTGGATATATTTTTCGCTTGAAGCCAAGGCAATCTGCACCAGCATTTATTCAGCGCCCGAACTCCCTCACACACTTTCTTCTTCTTCGTACTACTACGTTGGCTCTCCTGACGCTCCTGGAGTCAATAGGAATCTTCTACGTCGGCTTTTCAGCTTGAATATGTTGCTGTCAAAGTTTGGTTCTTTTTCGCATATTTGCAATCCTTCAAGTATGGACCATCTACCAGTGAAAATACAGCTCCAGCCGGGTAGGTGACTTTTCTTACGGTGCATTTTGAGATAAACTCAACAACTGATCGGTTTAGGAAACATATTTATTCTCTTGTTAGTAAGAGTTTGACAGTCAGAACTCACCGGCTCCGTCAAATCAACATTTCAGCCGCGCTCCTAATGTGGATTTCTGTGTGAAAACTGCACTTTTTCTAACATTTATCTCTTTTTCTCACAGTTAAAGCGGAGAAGGAGCCTTTTGAGAAGGTTTACCAAGTGGGCTCAGTGCTCGGCAGCGGAGGATTCGGGACTGTATACGCCGGGAGTCGGATCTCTGATGGCGCACCGGTAATAATGGGAACGGGGATCAGGCTCTGTGTTTTGATCTTGCATGTGGCGCCATCAAAGCCGGGGCGTCCTTATTTCGCCTTTCGGATTCAAACACTGACTCTCCCCTTGAAAAGTTAAGCATTTACTAATGATTTTCTGTGTTTCTTTACTTTAGGTCGCAGTCAAACATGTTGCAAAGGAGAGGGTGACCGAGTGGGGCACAATTGTAAGTAGGCTACTCAACCTTGATATGAGGGTTTGGTTTGTTTTGGTCCCCCCCTCCTCCTCTCCTCCCCATGCCCGCTGCTGCTGGGTGGGTTGGTGGGGGGGTTGGGATGTTAGTTTTTCACCCACTAAAATGTCTTGTTATTATTTCAGAATGGGACTATGGTGCCTTTGGAGATCCTGCTGCTGAAAAAGGTCAGCTCCTCGTTTCGTGGAGTTATCAAACTGCTGGACTATTACGAGCGCGCAGACGGCTGGCTGATCGTCATGGAGAGGCCGGAGCTCGTCAAGGACCTCTTTGACTTCATCACCGAAAAGGGCGCCCTGGACGAGGACACGGCTCGGGGATTTTTCCGCCAGGTTTTGGAGGCGGTCAGGCACTGCTACAGCTGCGGTGTAGTACACAGAGACATCAAAGATGAAAACCTGCTTGTGGATCTACGCACCGGGGAGCTCAAGCTTATTGACTTTGGCTCAGGGGCGATTCTCAAGGACACAGTCTACACCGATTTCGATGGTAAGCAGCCCCACCTCCTCCTCTTTGAGATTGCATTAATCGCTGTAATAAGATGGGAGCATGCTGGATATGTAATGTGTTTTGATGAATTCACATCCGTGTGGGCTGGTTTGTGTTTGCCCTTGATGCTCCGCTGAGCTATATTCAGATATGGAGGCGTTCACGAGCCTGTGACGCAGTGCTCTGTTTTTGGTCGAGGGTTTTCCTTGCCGGGGGTCTCACGGCTATTGATCACTACCTATAGAAACCAATGCAGGGAGATAGAAAGATTCCAGTAGGATTTATGACGAGCATGTTAGGTTTTTTTATAGCGGGGATATGACTCACTGAACCTTATTTTTGTTTTTGCTCAGACTGCTCGGTCTTGTGATATTGAGTAGTTTAATGTTTCCGGTTGTTATTTTGTTCCTAAAGCCTGACTCACAGTCGCAGTTTGTGGGTATTAGGTCAGTGCCACGTAACATCTGTTTGTTGTGAAACCCGAGTCGGCGGTTCACGTGATGGGCTCACATTGCCTTTTTTGTTTGGTATCCAAGTGCCTCCTTCCAGGAGGGAGGGGGGAGGAAAAGAAAGAAAAGGAGGGAGCAAAAGGAAGGAGGGAGGGAGGGAGGGAGGGAGGAGACGCAGGCAGGTCACCCGGTTTGTGTTTTGTGGCTTGGGGAAGATGGAAAGCATTTCTACCATGACTCAGCCATTTTACACACAGACACATAATTTCTTTGAGCCTTTTTATTTATAGTCTCTTTGCTGTTCCCACATTTAGACTATCAGTACTCCACATGTTAACCCTTCAAACAAGTAAATTTAACTGTTTCATGCTTGTATCCTCGTTGAAATTCATATCATTGACCTATCCCCCTATTTTATTTGTTTTCATTTCAGGTACAAGAGTATACAGCCCCCCAGAGTGGATCCGCTTCCACAGATATCACGGTCGCTCGGCGACGGTGTGGTCGCTAGGTGTGCTGCTGTATGACATGGTGTGTGGAGACATCCCTTTTGAGCAAGATGAAGAGATCCTCAGGGGTCGGCTGTACTTCAGGAGACGGATTTCAGCCGGTAAGTGAACCATAACAATGCACAGAACAAATAAGTCGACTCTGTTGCCCTCTAGCCATGGGAATTGGTACAGCCGCTTAAACGAGAGTCTGATGAGTTGCTTTACGTCAGAGTTAAAAGTCTGTCAACAATAGGAGCTCTTACTCTACCACTCCAGACTCAGACATGCGCATCAAACTCACCTTGTTCCTCTCTCCTCCTTCAGAGTGCCAGCAGCTGATCAAATGGTGCCTGGCGTTGAGGCCGTCAGACCGGCCCACACTGGAGCAGATTTGCGACCACCCCTGGATGAGGGCGACAATAGAGTCACCCAAGTCGCCGGAGGAGCCGGTCTCCGGTGAGATCCGCCTAAGAACCATAGACACAGACTCTTCTTCAAGCACAAGCTCAAGCAAGGAGAGCCTCTGATGGCTCTGATGGACTGAAAAGACTTTCTGGGGAAAGAAGGGGTCTGGATGGAGGGAGTGATAATGGACTCATGGCCAGCAGCCTGTAGCCGACCCAGTCTGTCAAAGACTGGACGCTTCACTCAGCTGGTTCAGCTAGAAAATGTACTTTAATTTTCCTCTTTTGTAGGGAATTTCTAATTTATTACTATTTGATTTGCTTATCTTATTTCCCCCCATCCCCTCTTTTTTCATTCAGTTTATTATACTTGTTTCCTAATGGGGAACATTTTTCTGTTTGGGCGGTCTTACCAGCACTATTTATTCCCCCCCTCCTTTTATAACTTTATTTCACTCATTTTGTTACTAGGCTGGTATATGCAGCTGGCAAGGCCCTCCTATTCAGACATGGCTGCTCTTATAGAGCTTGGAGAAAACCTTTTTATTTAAATGTTTTAATTTTGATTTTGTAGTGCCTTTTTTTGGAAAGCTGCTTTTCTGGGGGCTTTCACCAACAACTCTGTTTTTTGAAATTTCCCGTGGCCTGGTGGTGAAGCTGATTGTGCTGTAATGGAAGGTATAGGGGGGGATTAGGCTGTTTTTTTTTCTCCCCCCTCCTCTTCTTTCCATCACCGTGGGCCAACCAGCCCCCAGCCAAGAGGGTAGGATAGCATTAGACAGGAGAGAATGAGGTGGGGGCTCTTCCTGACAATGGAATACTTGAAAAACACTCGACTCAACTCTGTGTCGCTCTCTTTAACGCTGCTCACTCACTCTATAGCCTGAACAGGTGTTTTGGAAACTGGATCCTGTCTTTTCTGAATGTCTACAAAATGTCAACACACACACACACACACACCTCCCCCATCTTTTTCTCCCTCTCGTCTCTCATACCTGTTGCAGGTTGTATGGCCCTCTCGACTTTTCTTTTTGCCTCCCGCCATCTCACTGCTTGACACTACACGGCCCCCACCCCTGGCCTCCTTCAGGGTTTGGGGTGTGAAATGCACAATCAATGCAATATTCTTGGATTCAATTGTTTTTTTTTCCTTTTCTTTTTCAAAAAAAGTGTACAGTGTGTATTTTTTCTCCTTTTGTGTGAATTTTTTTTTTCTCCCCATTTAATTTATTTGTAAACATGTAGACATTCCACACTCTGTGGCTATTTATTTATTTATTGTCTATGCTTAAAAGCCCCCCCCACCCCCCTGAAAATTTGCATATCCTACTTAGTCTTTGGTTTGCATTCCTATAACTTATTTTTTCACTTCATTTTTTTGAGATGTGGAGGATGCACTGAAGCAGTTGTCGATGTAAAGCAGAATAAAACAAGTTTACTTCAATTTGAAAAGAGCATTTGAATGTTATTTAACTACAAAAAAGTCTGTTGGTGATGTTGAATGGCTAAGTACCTGAGAAATCCATCTGGTTCCTGTACTGTCAAGATTCATTTAAGTTCTATGGAAAGCTAAACGACAAGGGGAACAGCTTTCATAGTTGTCACATGGCCTCATAATGGAGACTTTTCATTTCAGCTGTGTGACTTGTGGCTGTGAAGGATGGATATTGCTATTTTTTGATACAAAATTTCAATTAAACTCCCATTTTTATGTACAGAAACAAGTGTGGTGTCTCGATCATTTTGAACACGGTGTGTCACAACATTGAACGTCAAATAAAAAGCAGCGCAAGCGAAGATTTGTAGGTTCATAAAAGAAAAAAATACATGTTTCTTGGGGATGAGGGTATATGGTCATTTCTAGGGGAGCCTGAACCACACACACACACACTAATGACTTTCCAACCAACTCCCCTCATAAGCCTGACAGCGCTCCCATGAGAATGAAGACTAGGCTAATATACATGTCCCATGCAGCACGCGGTTCATTTACACTTCCTATAGTAATAACATTGTTACAAGCATCATGGCTGACTGTGTGTGTGAGGAGAAACATCACAGGAACCATTAACTGGATGACAACCTGCAGCAACCACGTGGCTAATGAGAGACAGATGTGGAGAGGAGGAGAGCGAGTTACGCTGGGATGACAGAGGAGAAGACAGAGAAAGAGGAGGGTCAGGATGTTATGCATCATCACACCCGTGTAGCCTTCTTAACTGTAATCAATTTGTACATCCTGCTTACCTACCTGGTGCACAATCACATAAATCCTTGTGTTATTGAATACAGGATGGCTATGAGTAACAGGCTTAAATATGATGTGCCTGTGCCTGTGTGTACAGTGTTGATGTGTGAGAGGCTTCCAGAAAGCAGAAGTGAGCGATGGGAAAGGCAGCATTCATTTTCTAAGGAGGTGCTGCCCCCTCTGGTAAGAAAGTGTAATAGATTCCCTGTAGTACTTTGCATTGATCATCTTCTGATCAGAAGAGCGAATGATTCCTTTTGTAATGCACACACCATGAGCTTGTAGGCTTGATAAAAAGGTGTAGATTTGGATTATTTTTGAATAATCAAGTTTGGACATTTAAATCAGGATGATCCTTTTAGGTAAAATGCATGTTAGTGAGTCCTCACAAAACCCTTCCTTAGACTTAAACATTTTTAAAGTTATCACAAGGTCAATGCTTTGCCCCCAATTTGTTTCAGAAAGCTAAATATAATAATTTTTTAAAGCGTATACCAAAAAGGTTGATATCTTTAGTTTGTGCTGTAAACACAAACACGCAGAGCAAGCTGCCAGTTAGCTTAGCACAAGACTGGAAAAGGGAAAAACATGTACCCTGTATTAAACCAGGGCTCTCAAGTTTTGAACTAAGCTTAGAGTGAGATTTCCTTGGGGGGGGGGCGGTTGAAGAGTGATTGAAGATAATTATTTGTATAATAATCTCTTAAATACAACGGAGTATGAGGGCCACATTAAAAAAAAACGTTTTTAAATCTTCGAGAATAAAGTTATCATTTAGGAGAATAAAGTCATTAATATCTAAATATCTAAGAATAAAGTCGTAAAGTTACCTGTTGTGGAAGAGAGTTGTTAAAATCAGCACTGTGGAGCATTTAGATGAATTGTTCTTTAGTATAGGTTTCACAAACATGGAGATACTCAATCCTTTGGTACATGCGCGTTACACTGTCATGAGTATCAGAACTTTAAAAAGAATATATGAGAAATGCTCCTTTGTGGAGGGGGAAATGGCTGTACAGAGGCTAAATTTATCAATACAGCTGTTAATAGCAATAGCATAGGGCTTTAGTTTATCATTTGTGTTTATATGCCATGAGGTGTTGAGGTCTCTGCATGCGTAGGTTACTGACTTACTGTAATCATCGGGTCTGTCTCGTCCTTATAAAAACCTGCTCTATTTCGCCGAGTGTCTGTCAAAATCATATCAAAATCTACCCGGATACAGCAATGCTGCTTTTTGATTAGCTGTTCAGTAGATATACTTTACTTGATTGGCTTGTGCGTGGCACGCAGCGTCAACTCTCGGAGAAACTCACTTGATTCCTACCTGTTCTATAGTTAAAGAGGTGCAACTTGGGGGACGTCACCATATTTATTTAAATGCGTGAGAAATACAATGTGTGGCGTGTGAGCGTGTGAACGGGTGGGAATGCGTGTGTCACACGCTGAATGCGTGAGACTTGAGAGCCCTGTTAAACCAAAGCAGTTAAAATGCAAATGCAGCTTATCTGCAGCTTAGCATGATGTAGGTTGTGATTGTAAAGGTAAACTCTGGCATCCCAGCAGGTTGTCTTGGCCCAGAAACAGCCTGGCACAAAAGAAAACCTCAGATGAAACAGAAACTGTGGATATTGTGTGTATTGAGGTTTGCCTGGATCAAACACCATTTTGTCTGAGTTAGGGAGCTTTGAAGAAGGATTTTGTCAAGTTTGGATGAAGCCAAAGTAGCTGTGTCTTTCCAGTTTTTGTGCTAAGCCTAACTAGACTAACTAGCAGCTGACTTGGGCTTTATATTGACATGGCATGTGTGGTATAAATCTTCTCAGCTAAATGCCAAGAGAAAAAATAGTAAAAGTAGGTCCCGTGATGTTTACTATCTCTGTATCTCATCAGCTTGTGCAAGGATCACTTCACTTTCAGTAAGGGACTAAGGGGATATTATCAGTAGACAAGGCTTTTCATCACTGTAAAACTTAGTTCATAAAGGCCCCTGTAACACCCCCTGATAAAACACTGAGCAATGATCTCTGGTGTCAGACTCAGTACGTTGACATCTGTGTTTCTATTTATGTGCCTGGTAATCCTCCATTGTCTTTGTGTCTCCAGGCTTTTTGACATGCAAATGACCAGCAACTTGTCTTCATCTGAATCCCCCCTGCTCATCATAAAGACTGTGGTGAGGCCTCATCCACCCTCACTGTGAAATCCTCATTAATGAAGTGGGGCATATGCCACACTGTTGGCCCCTTCAGCTGAAGTCGGATCCCAGCGGCTGGTTTATATCATCCATCACTGCCATGTTTCGACTCTGTAAAGATTCCCATGCTACTTTCAAACCTATTTAAAGTTGTATCATGTAAGGAAGCATCCAAGTCCTCAACGGCTAATACATATTAAAAAAAACAACTTAAAACTCCACTTAAAAGTGTGTTCTTTGTTCTTACCTATTGAAGGAAAGTACAGTTAAGAAATCTGCAGCTATGACTTGGAAAGAATCCCTCTTGCCACTCAAGCACATCCTGGTAGGCAGATACACATGGAGACACAACCAGGTCCAGAGAAACTTGAGTGCAAGAGGGCATCCATCAACACCCAGCCCTCCAACAACCAGGACATGCACCTGCACCCACCAGCATTTGTCTGCGAGGTGGACAAGATGAGGACTAGGCCCTCAATCCTTGATCTGGGCCCGATGAATATCGTCAGGGACTGGCAGCTGCAAGTCGGCTTGAATCAGAAGCTCATTTTTCCCTCTGAGATTGCAGCGACCACCTTGCAACCAGACCTTGTCCTCTTGTCTAATTCCTGCTAGCTTGCTTACATCATTGAGCTGATGGTGCCGTGGGAGGATGCCATCAAGGAAGCCTTTGAGCATAACAAGCTGCAGTACTCCAACTAAGCAGCTGAGGCAGAGGACAGAGGTAGGAAGATCAAGGTGCGCCCGGTGGAGGTGGGGTACAGGGGTTTTGTAGCCAGAAGGGAGGTTGGAGTTGGGGAACAGGCCATCAAAGAACTGGCCAACACAGCTGAAAGGACCAGTTGCTGGCTGTGAAGAGTGACACCACCTGGGCTGCTAAGGTACGGTGACCAGACGTCCTCAATTTCCAGGGACTGTCCCCATATTGGATGACCTGTCCCCAGCTAAAGCTGTCCCCGGAAACATCCCTGATTTAAGCTTTTCATGAATGTGAACAAAAATGTTGGGTGTAGACTAGAACAACGGTTGTCACAGTAGCTGAGTAGGTAGGAAGCACGAGTAAGCATGTTGTGTGCATTCCCAAACAAAGTTTTCATGGGGGGTTATTACGGGGATGTGCAGTGCTAATAAGTAATACTGAGATGTTGTCTGTGATCATGCATGTCTATGTCTATGTCTATGTCACCCCCAATCCCCGCTCTGGATGTCCCCTGATTCCACTGCAGAAATCTGGTCAACTTATGCTAAGGTGAGCAGCTAACTGCGAGACATACACCTGTGAATACAAGTACAACATAGGCATGCAACCTGTTGAAATGTTTAACTGCAAAACATGTAGTCGTGTTATGATTGGCTGGTAGGTTGGGAAAAAAGAAAGAAATAATGAGGTTTATCTTCTTCAGCCTTGTTGTGTAACTGTTTGGTAAAGAGTTGGACAGTTCTGTTTATTTATCTGTATCTTTAGTCAAACATTTGTAAAATAGACCCGTTGAGTTGAAGCTGAGGTCACTACATTCAGAACTTTTCTCTCTGTTACTCAGTACTCTTGGAGAAACAGTGCTGGCACGTCGAGTCTGTCGATGGTGGCCGGCATAGGTGACAACTCGACAGACACAGAGGAAGATGCCAGATGGACTCCAGGCCTGAGGGCCCTGATGGGCACAGATGGGTGGGTGGGTGGCACCCACACAGGCAGAACAGGCGGCTGTGCCAGCACCAACACTATTGAAGAGAGAGAGATCGCACCATCACTAGTGATACTACATCTCACACTTCTTCTCTTTATGTGTGTGTCCATCCATGAAAATGACCCTTTGAATAAGGACATGTGGGCATTTGACTGTGAGAGTTTGCTTTTCAGCGCATCTATTCTAGACGTCTCTGTGTTGTCCATGCTCTCATACCCCTTTATTAATACTGGTAATAACTATTTCATCCTGTGGGAAACTGGATTCCTGCTATTCTTACATAAAACCAACGAAATCAATGCATCACCGCCTTGACTACCGTTGTCACAGGTGAATCAACTCAGTCAACAGGATTGGTAGACCATGGAGTAATCCTAAGATAGTAAAACTGAACTAACTTTTAAGGGTTCAAGAAAACATTTTGGCCTTTTAACTGATGGAGAGGGTCAATCATTTTTCATCAGTACGCTCTGTGAGTGTGTAATAGTATTACATCTGGTCCTGGGGGTGTGATGAATCACTCAGCTTACACGACCAGTAAGACTGGGTTCACCAGGACAGGAACAGATTTGATCACTTATTTTGAAGACAGCTACAATGATCGAATGTAAGTGATTTTTCACAATTCAATTGTTATAGGATTGAACACTCATTTCGACATTCCTTGATGCCAGTAAGTCCAGGTGTTGTACAGACATGAAGAATAGAAGAGATTAAACCTACGTGACCCCAATGTCAACATCAGTTTATACTGTGAGTTCTTTGTGTCGAATTCATGTACTCGAGTTATAAATGCTGTGTTTGTTGGAGGGCCGAAGGGTTGCAGGATGACTGACTTGAGGGCTCCTTCTCTCTGTTACCCAGCCACCTAAGGGACTTTCCACTGGTCTGGCTCTGTGTTCATTAAAACCTGTGCAGCTGCCAGAGAGGAGTACCTGGCCGCCTGACTGGTGGGAACCTGCTGCCGTCACCGAGTACTTTAAAGGAACTCATTGTTCCAGGTGGACAGAACATGCTGTATAAATAAGGACTCGTTGTTTTAGGAGATGTGAGAAGAAACACATGCAGACAAGCTAAACACACACACACAGTTGTGTGAAGACATGAGACATACACACAAGCGCCCAAAAAGATCCCCGAGATTGAATCGAAACAGAACCACAAAGGCTCAATCTGTGCCGCGCTGTGCTGCTGTTGCCAGGCTCCCGGAACAACATCAACAACTGCAGATCCCAGCAGGTGAACTGAGGTGACTTCAACAGCTTAATATTCCCTAGACAGAGCTATTTGTCCATTACGTCTAATGTGAGCACGCGTGTGAGACAGAAACGTGGTCAGGGAGAGAGATGGGAAAAACAAAACGTGAGAGGAAAGTGAGAAGAAGCGAGGGACTTACAAGTGGGAGTTAGTACAGTGTGTGTCAAGAGAGGAAGAGAAAGAGAGTTTGGGACTGTAGTTATTACAGTCTTTTAACAAGTGTGTAATTTGATCAAAGGAGCCGTTGACCTCATGTTCAGTTTTGCCCTGCGGCTGTAATGTGTTTCTCCAGCATGATGAGAGGAGCCCTTTCTGCTGATGAAACAGGACACTATTTTGGGGAAATATCTGTCCTAAAGAAACATTTCTGGTTTGATGGCAGCGAGATGCTGCATCATGTTGCTGTAAACAGACAATCTGTGAATCCAGGTACTGTGTTTTACCGATATGTTTTATTAAGATACTGTATGTATTTCTAACAGGAAAAACAAAACAAAAATGTTCGATATATCAGAACATTAAGATGACTTTTATTTGCTCTCAGGATACAAGCAATACAATGCTCTCAAAAGATGCCTATTTGAAAGCATCTTCAAGCCTTTGAAGCTGACCTGGATTTGTAAGTGGCAGACCTACAGAGCAAGTGATGAAAACAAGTTATAAAAAAATGTTGGTGGTATTTCTTGGAATATTTGGTGTGAATGTCCTCAGTGTTGTTGGTGTCGGTGATGAAAGTAGTCAACTGATTCCAAAATAGTTGCTAAGAAAAGCTTTTTGTTTTTACACTCTACCCTCAGGAAGTTCAGCTATGGTCAGAGCTGTCCTTGTCCCAGTTCAAGAGCAAAAATTTACATTTCACATTATGAACATGAGCGTGCCCAGCTCCACTGCGGCAGGTGGAATCATGTCCTCTTTAAGCCTGTTACTACAGTCTATGGTCGTCTCCTGGTTTCACGTACACATTAAATCAGTTGCCAAACTTCATTAGCAAGAGGCTAATGGGATGTATGTGAAATAATAAAAACACTGTTTGTACGATAGATAAGATTGTCTTTTTTGTCCCTTTTTTTCTCTCAGAGTTTTGTTTTTAAAAGTCCAGCTTCCTAACAACACATCCAGGTGTGCAAACATCGGGGCATGCTCAAAACACTCGGACCAGTTTCAGTCATGTTGAAGCCGTATACATGACAGAGAAAGTCAATCTCTAATTGCATTTTCCAGGTATGTTAGTTCAACTATGAGAGGTTTGATTGAGTGCAATTTCAGTCAGACCAATGGGTTTACTTTTTTCGAGCTAAGGCAACAAATCGTTATTGTGGAAGAACATATGAACTCCTTAATATTCACGTATAATGGGATGTATTGTAAACAAGGAGCCCTGGCCTACATTGCATTTGCTTTCTACATAACTGTACTCTATGGGTTGAAAACATCAGGGTCACAGAAAAACAGCATCCTTATCCTTATTCTCTGCACCCATGAGATGTTTTTGCTGTTGGAAACAAAGTAAACAGAGACCAGGAATTAAAGCAGCAGTTCCTCTTGATTTCATACACCACTGATGGTTGACATGATGGGTCTAGAATAACAACAAAACTTTTTATCTGTGTTTATGTGAAAGTAAACAACTTTGAGAACACCTGCAACAACTGAAGGCATGTTTTACCCAGTACTGAGAACTCTGGAGACGATGAAAAGAGCCAACTAATCCCTTTTGCTCCCATCATGCCGATCAGGGTTGTGTTAGTATGTAGCTCGTGTGGATGCAGATGAAGTACTTGATCAGTCAAAACAGCAAAGACTAAAGAGCTGCTTGATTCAGAAAACAAGGACACCACCATTCAATTACAAAGTCAAACCACTAAGGTTGCTCTTTGTGAAGTCCTGCTGTATACGATCAGGTTCTGTTCGTCAATTTGCCACCAAATACATAGAAGATTTTTTCATTAGCTCCAGCTGGGCTACTTCGAGCAATAGTCGGTTATAGTTAGCACAAGTTAGCATGTCAGTGTGGGGAGATGGTGACCACGATAAACTTTATATTCCCATAAGTTCTTAACATAGACCGTATATAGAATGGACGCCGTCTGTCTCCTCGCTGGGTGAAGCCACCCCAGAACAGCACCCTCGGGTGACGGGCTGCAGTATAGATCACAAATCCCACCTTCTCCAGCAATCCTCATGGAGCTGTGGACAAACTTCAGAAATTTATTACACAGAATATACATATTTCTCCCCCTTACTTGTGATGTTGACATGTAGTTATTGTAAGACTGGTTTGTGCTCAAGTCCTCTTTTTTCTGTACAGCTCCATTTTTAAAAGTTATTAGGGGGTTCATGTTTTCTATGATTGACACTTAATACAGTCTATGAACGTACGAAGATTGCATAGCTCACCCAGGGAATATGCTGTTTGAGCATCATTATAGCGAATTTCGGTGACTCTCCCCCGCCAAATGCGCGCAATGCTACTGCGCAAGTGGTGGAGTTCGTACGACGCTACAGCGCAATGTTGGTTTCAGGAAGTGGAGAAAAATCGCGGAAATACTGAGAGCTTTTCAGCTGTAAATCCGTATACTGGCAAAAGGCGGAACCAAGGTGTCCATAGTATATACAGTCCATGGTTCTTACCTGCTAAACGTTAACGTAATAGCATGCTGAAGTTAGCATTTAGCTCGGACCTAAGCTATAACCATAAGCACACTTAGCTTTTGTTTCTTGTTATTTTTGTTATTTTCACCCAAAGAGATCCATCCGCTAATATTACAACCAGAGAAACTCATTCAAAGTGCAGACATCCCCTCACTCAGCTGGTGTAACTCAGTTTTCTCACAGTGATACTGATGTGTTGTCCTAGTAAGAAGGCACTCAGACCCAGTGGTTAACACTGAGGACACACAGCAAGATGTTTCCATTCCCTTGGCTCTGTTGATTCTGGGAGAAGTTTTCACCTTCTCATCTGATGCTCAGGTTTCTTTCCCACAATCCGAAGACATCCGTGTCAAGCACAGCAGATTAGAGAGTGAGCCGGGCGATGAATGATGCCTAGATAGAAGTATTTCCTTTCGGCACAATGCATAGTGGGACAGGCTCCAACCCCCTGTGCCCTCATAATAAACAGGAGGAGGGAGTGAATGACTGGATGTTCCCTTGGTTGAGAGCACGGCAGGACTACCTGTCAGTCAGGTTCACTTACAGGACCTTGGCTCTCAAGCGTTGCCTTCAACTCAAGACAAACAGGGCCCCTGAAGATATCAAAAATTCATTGGGGCAGATAGCACAGATCTTGTGCACAGAGTCTGTAGGGGTTTAAAAATCGGATGAGTGGCTGCATTTTTTTCACTGACACGTCTGCACTGAGGTGTGAGTGTGAGTCCATGGTGTCAACTGTACGCTTTCGTAGACCAGGGCGCTGAGGACGAGCAAGGGCTTCAAGATTCAGGGGAAACCCAGAGCGATTTCTTCAGGCCTTTTTAAAGTTGTTCTGACCACGTTTTTAAGATTGTTTTGCATGGTATAAAATGTGCTGAGAACAAAGTACCAAGTTTTACATTAAAATGCTTGAAAAAGCTCCTGTATGCCAACTGGCCAGCACTAGAAAGCAGACAAAGAATACATAGGAAGTGTGAACATTGAGCTCCATCAAATTTCCATCTGCAGGCTGTCGGTTGTGAAAATGTTCAGTGCATACAGAAAAGATGTCATTCACAGTTTGAGGCCGTTCCTGTCTCACGTTTGATGGTTTTTATACACATCAGACTTGTTTGCACTGCCTCTGCTGTAAAATTGTTGAAATTCTTCATTAGGATTAACTCTTTTAGAGGTTTTATCTCATTCTTGAGGGAATATCTAACATCTCTGTGAGCAAATGCATGATCAGCAGTGCCTCTCAAAGTCTCCTGTAACTGTGTCTTAATGAGACGGTATGTTACTGCACAGACAGTCGAACACACGCCTGTCCTTGCTCTAAACTGCATAAAACAGTGTCAAAATCAATATAACAGTCTCTGTCAAATGAGTTTAAGTCCCCACCGTCTATGTCCTAATACAGTCAGTCTGAGTCATCAGCACTGAGGTCCAAGTCTAGTTATGAGTCCCAAAATATGAACTCGAGTTGGACTTGAGTCAGAGCTCTGTACCCAAGTACTACACTGAGGGTGAGGTCATTGCTGGCCTCAACATCAACCACAGCAGTTCAGCACTTGTTGTATTTATGCAATCAGTCGAAGATGATTTCAATCCCACCCATGTTAAATAAACCACCAAAGGTCATGAAACCATTTAACACTGAACAAATAAGAACCTACTGTTCTTACCTCCTCTGAAAACAGACTTTAGGTTATCTTAGGTCAAATTTCACTGCTACATTTTCCACATTAGAGTAACATACCTTCACTTTAAATGGAGGATAGATGTCATAAAACACTGTGGTAACATTTCAATGCCAAGCCTTTTGGAAAGTAATGTGCCTGACTAGCTGTGTGACGGTGTTTTTAAAAAAGTGTGACTTTAACTTCAGTTTACTTTTTGAACTTATTTTTAGAAGGGAATTTGCATTTGAGAGTGACTGTACTTTGAATTTTGTGTTGGCTATAAAACTTAGCTTTAGACTGTTACTATCATTCAGAATGCAGCAGGTGTATTTGGAATGAAATTTGGTTTGCATAGGCCTCAGTTAACAGATTCAAGTACAGTGCAGATATATAAAATATATATAAATATGCAGCAGAAGTCCAGTGTAAGTTCAGAAGCTGTGAGTATGAGCAGTAAATTTTGCGTATTTAAAAGTCTGATGATTCGGGGGACAAAGCTGTTCAAGAACCTGGTAGTCCTGCACCGATTGCTGCAGAAGAAGGCCAGCAGGATAAATGGTCCATGAAGGGGGTGAGAGGAGTCACTGCAGATCTTCCTGGCCCGAGACACCCAGCAGTTCTGTGCAACATCCTGGATGGAGGGGAGAGAAGTCCTGATGATCCTCTCTGCTGCCCTCACCACTCTCCTCACATCCCTCCAGTCAGAGGCACTACAGCCTTCACACCACAGAGATACAACTGGCCAGGAAGCCCTTGATGGTGCTTTTGTCAACTTTAGTGAACCCCCAGGAACTTTGTGCCGCTGACCACCTCCATGGCTGCTCTGTTGATGAGGAGTGGAGCATGGCTGGGCCGGTACCTCCTCAAGTCAACAATGATTTCTTTGGTCTTGTCTACGTTCAGGATCAGGTTGTTGTCTCTGCACTAGCCCACCAGCTGCTCCACCTCCTCTCTGTAGGCCAGGTCGTTGTTGTCCCCGATGAGGCCCACCGCTGTTGTGTCACCCGCAAATTTCACAATGTGGTTGATGGCGCACCTGGGGGTGCAGTCCTGTGTCATCAGGGTGAATAAAAAGAGGGCCACTAACTTTGGTGAACTATGACAAGGCTAAAAGGGACTAAAAACACTTTTGTACTCTAATAGAAAATTGTTTTGGTCGCTGCATATTTAAATATTTGATGGTTTCATCTGAAAACCAGGGTAATAAAAGTAGTGAGACTGGCCATAACTCTGAGATTAAAGGTCTAAAACCAAACCAATGATGCTAAAAGATGCTAAAATACCCAGTAGAGCAGATAAAAAAACAACAAAAATTGGTTATGATTCATGTTCTGGTAACTGCAGTTGACTCTGATTCTTTACACAGAGATGTTGGACCTTTTTCTAATGTATCAAAGAACTTAGAAGTGCAGCTTAAACTCTGAAAATCAAAACCTTAAAACCCCTTAACCTCAGAGTAATGAGATCAGCAAAGCACAAACACAATAAAGGACACCAGAGGACATCATATTTGGATGAAAATGAAGCAGGAGACATTGACATGATGCTTTGACATGAAGCGGTACGGGCTGTTCCTCCTCCTGATTTCAGACAGAAAGGACACGTGGAAGCACTGAAGTCCAGTTTGAGGAGACCTACATTCGGAGCAGCACTTTTGTTATGACTCACAGGTCTTTTATGCAGCAATCATGTGAAATTTATCACGCTGCAGACTCACTAATCTTCAAGCTGGTGTTTTTGTTCCTGCACTACCTCATCTCTGAATTCAAAAGTGGATTTCCAATCCTTCAAATAACTTCATGACTTATTCTTCGATGACCCACTTCTTTACCCGGGCTGTCTCTTTAAAGATAAACACAAGAAGAGTGGCGCACTTAAAGGTTATATCAGAGCGGTGAAAAAAAAAGAAAACAAATCTACTTCCCTTTTATTTCAGCGTGGTAACTATCTCTTCGTGGAAGAACAGTTTACACAAGCAGGGTTACAATTACAAGCTGTGAGAATGGTAGGGCATTCAGCCTCCCATTCAGGACTGTCGTGAAAGCTGGTGTGTCTCCTCGATGATGATGATGATTAAAGGGTGCATGTTTACCGCAGGTATGTAACAACCACTTCAGGCTGAGCTGGGCTCCCCTCAAGCTCCCAGGAATGTATGGGAGCTGCTCGCAGAGGAGAGAAAAGTACCAGTGTTTGGGGAAAACGCTGCCCCTCCTCCAGGCTTCGCGCTAAGCCACAGGACTGTAGGTGCACCATGGAGCTGCATATTCCCCACTCAAGCAGCGTGAGAATTTAGAGCCTGGGAGGACCCTGGGAATCAGAAAGGAGAGACATATGGGTGTTTATTTGCTTTCGAAGAAGTAGCCTTGCTGAGAATGAAATTGAGAGTTTCAGATGGTCCTGGAACGAAGACTCAAGATGGTTTGAAATATTGAAAAAAGTCAGTGTTTGCTTTTAAGGACACAAAAAACAATGTGTATTTTATGCACACAAAATCACATATTTTTATGGAGGAGTGTAATGTTGACACAAGGAAGGAGTTGTCTCTCACTGTGACTATTTACCATAGAGAGAAAAATTAAAAAGGCTTTTTCTTCAGCCTGCTGTCATCCACGTGGTGTGATCCTACCCCCTCACAACAATGCCAGGCTTCAAAAATCACAACAGAGGAGTTATCTGTGTTGATCCTGATGGTCTGGATTGATTTTAAACATCGTAAAGAGGCATCAGGATGGGTTTTAGGGCACATTCATACCAGGATTGTTTGGTTCGTTCTAAAAGGACCATTGTACCCTTACTCCTTTGGTCCAGGTGGTATCTATGCGCAAGCGAACCGTGGTCCGGATCAAACAAACGGACCATGGTTTTCTTGAGAATGTAGGATTCGGTTCCCTTCCAAACCAACCATGGTGGGTGACAACACAGCACGGATGCAGCTGGACTTTTTATATGTTAATATCAACCAATAACACATTTACACTGTTATGCCCAAGTCCCATGTGAACACTAACCAAACCAAATGCAAAAATGTAAACAATTGGTCCCTGATCTGGACTTTCTAAGTGGACTTTGGGTGAGAAAGACCCCTTAGTCTGTTTCTCAACCAAATGAAAACTCCTTATAGTGCCTTTAACAAACGTCTGATTCAAGCTAGTGTAATTGTCTCGTTGTCCTTCTTAACAAAGCTGTCAGTCACAGCCAGAGACAAGATTTCAGACGGTCCATCCTCAGTCATGCTGGTTTGATAAAAATGATCCTGTTTTGATTGAAACTCTGCACAGCCCGATCCCCTTCAGGTGCTAAATGCAGCACGATACTGTACATCGTAGTGTCTTGCCTGGCCTAAAAAACTAAAGCTGCTAAACTCAGTATTCATGTACTTTTTGAACAGTGCCTGTTCAGGGTGGGACTGTTGTGCCTTGATATCGCCGTGCTGGTTGGATGAACTTGTTCCTCCTCTCTGTTTGAAGCTCGTACACTTTGTTTGCAAAACTCGCCTTTTTCTTTCTGCAAACTGAAATGCAGTTGAACCAATACGATGACATTATGGGTTCAATGCAAGAGTACAAAGGTGAAGAAGAGATGGTGGAGATCGTCCTTTAGTTGCTGATGTGTAATCCTAATTTATCAACTGTATTAAAAATGTCTATAGCTTGCCCCCAAACTGCAATTACCTGACATCAAACATAATTAGGACACACTATATTACACAATAACAACACTCAATGAACCAATTGCATGACCCAGTAAACTAAAGTTGACACAATGAGAACATACTAAATTTAATTCTGTCTACTGTGCCGACAGAACGAGGTCTTGAATTCTCTGTTTATAAATCTGTCTTGATACGCTTTGTGGTGAGCATTTGAGGATGGTTATAAATATTAACACGAAGGTGGTTATGGCAAGACACATAACTCTGGTCGAAATAACAATTCTCATGAAAGTGGGCTGAAGTGAAGGGTGTGGAGGGATGACAGAAGGGAAAATGTCTGGAGATGGGTATCACTGCTGTTTGGTTAAAAGAGGAGAGGACTCTAAACTTTGTGTGTGTGTGTGTGTGTGTGTGTGTGTGTGTGTGTGTGTGTGTGTGTGTGTGTGTGTGTGTGTGTGTGTGTGTGTGTGTGACCCAGTTAACTCAGGCCCGTGTTTCCAGATGGTTGTGTTAGTGCTTCACTGCTGGTCCATGCTTCAGGGAGCTCTCTCTCTCTCTCTGTCAGTACCCCTCACTGACACCACTGATATCAAACTCTGCAATGCACTGCACATCCCAACATAGCAGCACTGAATAGAGCCTGTTTAGGGTTTTTTCTCATATTTCTTGTTTTAACTTTTGAAAGAAAACATTGGTTTTTGACGCCTTGACTTTATTTGACGCCTATCTCTATAACGCATGATAAATATATAAAATATATTATACCTTATTATCAAGGTATAGCACTGTATAACTATAGTTATAAACACTCATAAATGATCGTAGTGCTTTACAGCAATAATCATAACACATTATGAAGCATTTTATCATGACTTACAAGGTCAGGTCAGGCCATTATGATCATTAATGTGTGTGTGTAATGATAATTATACAGTGCTATAACGTCATTATAATGCATTATAAATATATTCATAATGCGTTATAGAGACAGGCGTCAAATAAAGTGTTACCAAAACATCAAATTAATGTTTACTATATAATAAAGATAAAGTTTTATATTTAGGAACTTCAGTCACATGAACACCTCATGAGTAAAAACATGGATTTATTCTCAGCTAGATCAATGATTTACCTTTACGAATATGACTTGTATATCTTAAATCACAGTTTTTATTCTTTCAACACTGAAAAAAATGCTTTGAATAGTGTTTTACTGACTGGATGTACATGCCCTTGAATATTTACCGACAATCAACGCAGGTGCCCAGCAAGGTGATGGATCAGCAGAACAAACACAGTGGTGGAAACAAGAGAGAATTACCTCAGGAAGTGAAACTGGGTTTGGTCTTTTGGTAGAAATTTTTTTTTTTTTTTTTTTAAAGTAAATGGAATTTTAGATGGGAGAAGCACCAAAATATTGTCCTACAGACTACAGGACAACAGTTTCCCAGCTTTAGCAGGTCAGGTCACATTTTACTAAAGAAACATTGATACCTGTCCAAACATCAGAGCAAAAATAGCTCTGTCCTCTTCAGCTTCTTTCAAAATTTTACAAAACCCGCAGATTCATGTGCAATCGCGCAATAACGAGTTGTCTCTTAGCTACAGAGGCTAACCATAAAAGCAGTAGATTGTTTCCTTCCAGAGGAGGAAATCCACCTCTAGACTTTAAAATCAGCATCTCCTCATCCATGGTGTCAACGGGGTGAAATGCTGTCTAAAAACCTTTTACATGTTTGCGTCTCCGCCTGTTTGCATTGTGTGAAATACAATCCTCCTGAAACACAGTGTTTTATTTTGAAAAGAAGCTGAATGTTTTATTTTGTGTCTTTTCACCGTTCTGCGATAGCATTGGAACAGAAAGAAGCCGGTTGAAATTGACACATTGACTTGAATGGTTATTTTCAGCTGCGATCGGCAGGTACGGCCTTTTCGTAGCCGTTCCGGATGCGGTTGGAGACTCTCTGCTTGTCATCATAGCAGGCGGGAGTCTTGATATGGGCTCCTGCAGTGTAGCTCAGCAGAAGCCAGTTGCTTAAAAGCAGCTGAGGACACAGACGACTCTACACCCACCTACGCATTCAACACCACTGACTGTCTCACCAGTCACAGCTGGGTATCTTCACTCAATAAACACCACAGACACCTGCACACAGAAGAGGCAGCCATCTGATACACAGGAAGGATATATTGATTTATTTACAAGAGTATGAATAACCCTTTTTCCTGTCAGCTTGTAAACAGTATATCATAAATAAGTCCATAAGTGTGAAAAGGCGCATAATCATATTACTCAAGTCCATGTGATCACACCCATCGACGTCGTGATCTCTTATGCTGCCAACATGTAGCCACAAAGACTCCCCCAGCTATGATCAAGGTCATCATGTTCACCGGAGCATCTAAGCAATCTGTCACGGAAAGCTCCAGAACACCATGACCCTGATGTAGAACCAGTGTGTGATAAAGCCTCCATCCATTTCCTGTTTACCTGACTCCACACCTCTCTGGCTTCGGGTCAACCCCCCCTCCTTCTGTCCTAATGTTTTTTTTTTTTCTTTCTGTTCCTCTCATCCTTCAAGCTTCTTTACATAATGCCTCCCTTCATTTCCACTCTTCCTCGTCACCTTCCATTTCCTCGCTCCTTCATTTCCATCGCATCTTTTTCACCATCATTTCATTTCCCTATCTCAAGTTTCTTCCCGTCTTTTTCTGTTTACATGTAACTTCATTCTCCTCTATTTCTCCTTGTCATCCTCTTCTTCTGCTTTTCTTCAGCTCCACCTCTCCTTTGTTTACCTGAAGCTCTGTAGCCACGGTGACAGCCACGGTTGTCACAGTGATCATGTTACAACTAGGACAGCCAGTTCCGAGAAGGGGAAACAAGGGATTCCCAATAATATGCCACTATTGTTCCCCAAAGGCTCTGTCCTTCTCTCTCTCAGTGCTACTCCATTCTCAGAACACACACACAAACACACACACAAACACACACTTACAAGGGTGTAAGTGGGGGAAAAGGACACCACATACACAGTTATTCATCAAGGAACAAATAATGTTCACACAGCAGCAACCACACTAACAGACCGCTCTGTACTGTAGGTCAAAGAGAGAGTATTCATTCACTTAGGCTCTTATTACGCACCTGCAGGTAAAGGTAAAATGGGTGCATGGATTGAGATGTAGGCACAAAGAGGTCAGCTTGGGTCAGATGGCTTGGCCACCAAGTAGGATGTCAAAGAACTCAACCGAAGAAGCATCCAAATGACAAAAATGATTTTTTTTCATGAGAGTATGAAAAAAATGATGAAAAACCCTTTTCATTTTGCGGGTGCAGTACACAAAAGTGAAGCAACAAAGCTCCGCTGTCATCAGGCCTATGTACCTTCATATTGATCCTATCGCAGAGTGATATTGGAGTCTCAGAGTGTGATTTTCTGGAGAGGTAAACACACAGCTGGAGCTTCACACACACACACACACACACACACACACTCAGACACACACATGCATAAATCCTGTCTGCAGTGGCTCTCAGTGTTCCTGTCTGGCCTCTGTCACTACCTCTAATAATAGCACAGAGGTAAGAACTAAGCCTCACCAGTAACCTGTGTGACATATTCATATTAAAGGTAAGACATGACAGGGGCACACATGTCTACAACCCACCTGGTTTCCCTTAGAAGTACTGTAAACCCTCTGGATAAGATTCCCACATTAAAACTGACCAATCGAGAAACTTCAGTTGTAGCGCCTGATCAAAAGACTGTACTGCGAGCCCTTTAAAGTAACTCTGACGTCATACAGTTGGGTCCTACTCAAGGTTTCTACCTGTTAAAGGGAAGTATTTTCTTGCCACTGTCGCTCATATTGGTTGAGATGGGTCAAATCTGCCCCATCTTAAGTTTGAGTCTTTGTAACACATCAAAAAATAAGTGTGGTCTGGCTCTTTTAGAAAGTGTCTTGGGATAACAATCGTTGTGATTTGGCGCTATATAAATAAAAATTGACTAACTGATGTTTGATGATACAGTCCATACTGACTTCCAACTCTCCAGGCAGGAAAGTGAACCAAACGTTTAAAATATGAAAATGCTTAATTTGGTCCCTTTATGTTTAATTGTATGTGCTGTTGAAAAGTGACACAGTATGAAGATGAAGAAGTGGAAATGGGGGGACAATTGCAGACAAGATACCCTTAAGTATGTGGTGACTGTGCTGTGTTTCTATCTCTCTTTATAATCACTGAAAGCTCTATAACATCATACCAGAGTCACTCATCACTTTCACACACTGATGGCAGAGGCTTTTATGTATAGAGTCTGTCATTTTTTGACCAAACCTATTTACACCCCAGTGGGTGCAGCCAGCAGAGGGCCGATGGGATCAAGTGTCCAGCCCTGGGATCATACCCTGACCTTTGAACCGGGAGAAAAACAGCTGAATTACTGAGCCATAGCCGCATCTCAAGCTTACAGCACCTGCTATTCCCAGGAGATACTAACCAGGCCTGACCTGTACTTAGGGACTGAGATTGGATGAGATCGGGCTTGTTCAGGATGGTAATGCAATAAGCAAACAAGTGACTCAAGCCCAAGAGACTGCCGATAATTAATGATAAATCTTTGTCACATTAAATTATTATTTTTTTACAAATATGCAGTGGTCTTATCACAGTTGTACATTTTTATATCGTATACAATTGCACCTGCAATAAGATACATGTATGCTTGTAATCTTCCAAACTGAAATGCTCTTTTACTTCAGTTTAATATAGCTCAACCGTGTCCCAGTTTTGTAATATGTCAGTTTTTCTCAAAAAATGTCAAATATTTCTCAGTTAGCTTTGTAATGAAAGAATTATTATGTTACACTTGGCAAGGTGAGCGTTTTATTTTGAAAATTTAATTTTACACGTCCAATACGACAATTAATATAAATAAACCAAAGGGTGTTATTTACCAATAAGCCTGCACCTATGACCTGGAAACTTAAAAAACAGCTGGTGAGGCGGTAAACATGGTATGGTTCTGATGAGGAAATATCCCAGGGCAACATTTGGTCATTTCTTGCCAGCGAAGTGTCATCAGTGGCTAAATTAACCAATTGAAAGAAGAAGATTGGTAGGTATCACCTCTACCTGTTGACACTGTGGCAGAAAGGTTCATTTTTGTTATCTTTGATTGATTGGGAGGCTCTAAACTTTCGATCACTGGTTGATGGATCATGATATGCAGAGAAAAAAATAGAAAACAGGGAGGCTGAGAGACAACAGCTCTGTGGGTGTCTCTCGGGTCACATTGGGGCTCATTATCGCTCAAAAACAGACTTCAAACAACAGTTGTTTCTGGTGCTTTTGTTTCCACAGAGAAATACGGCCTCCCCACTCCTTATCCCAGTGAATAAACTGTTTTTTTCCCTCAGGGGAAACATTAGTCCAAGGGAAATAATATCAAAACAAATCAAATCTGATCAATTTGAAGAGATTAAGAGGTCTGTTTACAGTCACAGACTGTACGACTTTTTGACTTTAGGTTCTTAAAGCATTTAACAAGATATACAGATAATGTGGTGTAACCCATGAGAAGCTGATGGAGGTTTCCCCATGATTCTCAATCTGTCAACGACACATGAGGCAGAATCTCCATCTTCTAAAAGATCACACTGACTTTTTCTCCTTTTCTTTAGTCAACTGTGGGACTGAGGACATTTTCAAAAGGAAGCATCCTGTCATGTCAGTTTTGGGGCAGCTACTGCAAATATTTGGTTTGTTAAAGATGAGGAGAACTACTGTGACACCAGCGTCTTCCACCTTGTTATGTGTGCGTGTAAGTGCTTAAAAGAAAAGGCACAATTTAAGTGTGTTATATAAAGCAAAGGGAAGAAAACAACAGAGCTGAGGTCAGTGCTGAGCGGAGAATTTTCACTCGCACGGCTGCGTAAGAGCCGCCGCTGTTCCTCCGGCTCTGCTGCACCGAGCACGAATCCCCACAGGCTTTTTTTTTTCTGCAGCCCAGTGTACCACAGAACACAGAGCCGAGTAGCAAACGCTTTATTTATATTAGGAGCGAGTGAGTGCAATGCAGTATAACCTGCAGCAGGGAACTTAGATGCTGGCCAAACAGAACTAGGTCACAGCCAGCGTCATAACACACAACAGCAAAGTGGAAATACAGCTGAGCAGCGAGGCCACTGATTACGCCCTAGTTTCTGCCTTTTTCTGCAACACTGCAGTTTTTAAAAGTTACATGGCACACAAAAACAGGAATATATCGAACATCTTATCTCAAGCACTCTGTGTCGGAGCATAAACGATGTAAAAAATGCAGGATTTTCTAAAATCCAACACCAACACTACCGTCTTTTCTGTCTTTGTCATCTTCTACAACATCAGGATACTTATTTCTTTCATTACGCTGGTACAAAAAAACAAATTCTCTCCTCAAACCCTTCAGATTTTGGAGGGCAGAATGAAACACAGAAGAGGTCGGCAAATCGATATCAGCTTCCTTGAACACGAGGATGCTTCTCTCTTTCTTCCTGTGATCCTTGTGATCCGTTTGGAGGTTGAGCGAGAGAGCACATACACTCAAAATAACTTTCTACAAACCACCTTGCTCTCCTGTTCTCTGCCAAAAAAGAAAAGTTACACACAGAGATGAACAAAAAGAGGCAGAGCAGCACAGAATAAAGGCCAGTGAGAGACAGAAAACTAAGACGGCTGTTCAGGTGGATGGCAAAAGTCCCAGGACAGTTGGTTACTTAACAAATGATGCTGCTGCCAGGGCTGTAGACACTTGGGAACTTTCACTCGGGAAGGGAACTGTTAGCTCAGTAGATACAAGAGTGCTTTAAGAGAGTGAGAAGCTCACAGTGGAGGGTTATTTCTGCTCCTCTGACTTCCATGCAAGACTTCAGAATCTAACACAACTCCACTATCAGAGTTAGTAAGAGGACTGAGCCTCTTTCAGAGCCATCCAAACTGGTTTGTGTATCAAATCCACAGTTAAACTCAATCTTCTGCAAGTGTTGTGGAATTAAATATTACTGCAGCTCTGTTGGTTGAGTCATTCGTGTGTTTGCTCTCTCTCTCTGTTTACTCCTGATTACGAATGAAGCCACAATGAAGTCAACGTCATGGTTCATCTGCTCAGCCTGTCAGGATAAAGGTTACTTATATCAAATGTCATATCTGTTTTGTTTTTAATCTATTTGTGGAGCTTTTTTTTGCTGCGTAAAGAATATAGTTAAACAAAGCTCATGTAGATGTGTTTACAGAGATACAATATGTGACACAGTTGATTTCACCTGAAAAAGTAGCACAGTCAGATTTCTATGAAGACTTGCAACAAAGAAGACAAAAACTCTGCATGATGTCACTTTTGATTGCATTGTTTGGTGAGTATTTCCGTTTTGGACAAAGCATTCACATCTTACCTCCATGCTGAGCTTTTAATGTTCATTGATATGTTGTATAAAAAACATCCTTTCTTTCCACAGTCAGAAGATGTGTTGGTGTTGTGCTTTTGTTGAACTCACCTGACATCCTACAGCAGCTGTGACGTGTACTAGATATTAGAGATGAGAAATCTTAAAAATGAGAAAAAAAACAATGTGATCATTAATGGTCTTGTTTACTCTCAGGTTGTAGAGAGAAATCAGTATACAATTAAAACAATAAAGCAACTGTCAAATTAGCTTTTTTTTTGCTGTTAATGCTTCACACATTAACAGGTGCAAAAAAAAAAATATGAAATGTATGAATAATAATAATAATACATTTTATTTATAAGCCCCTTTCTGCACACTCAAGGACACTTTACAGAGTAAAAACAAAAGAATAAACGCAATAGAGAAAACAAAACATACAAAAAAAGTGTATAAATGTATGTATAAATAAAACGAACGAAAACATGACAAGATAAATTGTAAGGAGTGTGCTAATCTGAACAGGTGGTATTGAGTCTGGATTTGAAGAGAGGGAGAGAGTCAATTTTCTGTATGTCAGGTGGAAATAAGCAGGACTAACTAGCTGAGAGCAGCTATTTTCTTGAGCTGCCTGCCCTAAAAATTCACTACCATAACACAAATCCAGGTTTTATATCAAAGGGATATTATTAGGATTAATTTAGGGTATAACAGATCATAACACAGAGTTAGACATCCCCTCGAGAGATGAATGTTGCCGACCGCTTGCTTCTCTAGTTATACTAACTTCAACAACGACCGCACGATAGCAATACACAGCAGTCTACGTCTCCACGTGCTAACCTCAACCAAAAAGCTACTCTATAGCCACAAATTATTCTCAGAACAGCACTTAGTACATATAGGGTCCCGGCCATAGTACTAGCCATCAAATGTCTTTTTAGCCCATCCTAGTTTCTTTAGCAAAGAGACTAAACACAACTCACCCACTCTCCTCCAGCAGCCGCTTGTTTGTGGGAGGCCTGACAAGTCGATCACTGAGTACAGTCTAAAGCCTTGGACGAGTTGTTCATGTTGTCAGTGAATTTAGGAGAAATAGAAAAATATAGTTTCATGTATTTGTATTACATTCAAATATTACTCTGTCAATGTGCTATAACACTCTGTGGTCATGATGTGTGTGATGGCAGAGCTCACTGTCCTTATTTCAACACCATCTACTGTATATCCATATATGGTTACTTTTGACTGGGAAAGGATAAGCCAGGTTGGATAAGCCAACTATCAAACCAGCTGTTATAAATCCAACAGAGATTTGTGTGTGTTTCAGCTAAAGAAAGAAAACAAAGAAAAATAATGATTGAAATTTGTAAACTGTAAACTGAAACCAACGCCCAGTCCTTATTTGCTCTGACTGACATCATTGCTAGAAAACCACCGGTGACTTTGATATGCAAATGGATTGCCGTCATAGACAAAGTCACGAAGCCTACGGATGAAGTCACAGAGATGCAAACCAGGCGCGTACACGTATTTAAAACAACGAGCGTGTTGGCATTTCCTTCAGTCTCTTGTCAGCCTAAGGCGCAAACACACACATGCACTTTTAACCACCCACCTAACATGCTCATGCACTCTGTGTCTTTTCTCTTTTATCCGCCGTGTCTCTCCTGGATGTGATATTCCACATGAACTCTTAAAAAAATTCTCCACGGCGGGATGATAAGACATGATATGACAGCATGGATCGTGGTGGTTACTGAAGCAGAGAGGACAAATGCACGGCAGGGTTCAGTAAAAAAAAAAAAAACACTGGTCAGCAACTTTACTACTGTAAGCTGAGGAATCTATCTATCTATATATATATATTTATTTAAAACCTACATATATAAATATACTCTATCTAGGCAGTGAAGCCAGCCAATCCCAGCTTGCCTGGCTGCTTCGAGGGATGCTTACCCAGCAGGCTTTGGGGGTTCACTAATGGGCCAGAGCACAAATGCAGGTCATGAGAAGCTTGAGGGAAAAGGATCTCTACTTTGGTCATATATAGAGTTCAGCATTCATATGCATATGTATACTATCTTTATCAGGGAGTGATTTTTAGCCCGTTATGGTTCAATGGATTTCTTTGGCCATTGTCCTCCTTTAAGTATAAATTAAGCCATGTGATATGGCACAGTATTATTCAGTAGAAAAGAAAAGATTTATGGGGCATATTCGGTTGAGGTATGCAGGGGTATTGGAAGATAACGAACATTAGCAGGGTATGGCTTTGAAAGTGGCAGCAGCTGATTCCCTCTGGATCTGCTTTGAGTCATCTTTTAAAGCTGTGAAAGTCTGTGCATATGTGCACCGCACTT